CGTCGCTGCGCTGCAGTTTCTCTGTATTTTCCCTCGTATTTTCCAGTCATCGTGCTAAAAAAACAGTTATAATAAGTTTGAAGATCGAGCTATTATTTACTTAATTTGATCGACGTAAAACTCATTACAGCGGTTCACTTAATGCTACAAATGCTGCGAAGCATTTAATTGATCAATCGAAAGAAAGAATTTTACTAATTGATCAATCAAAAAATAAGTACTTCAATAAGTTTGTAATACCAAGGATGCGGTCCACTTGGCACTCGCAACGCTCGCGAGCATCACTTGTCTTTGTTTAATAAACAACAAGAATGAATTAATTAATTCTATGAACGTTGCGAGCGCCAAGTGGAACGCCTCTTATAGAAATTTGATACTAGTACTTGCCAATTAATCACTTATTTTAAGTATTTATTATATAATAAAGTATTTATTATATAAAATATTGTTAACAGTACTTTTAATACTCTAAAATAAGTAACTGATTACCCAGTAATAATATTAAATTTCTATAAGGTCAGGTGGATCGTAGCCTACTTTTAAAAACGTTATTCGCTTGTTTGTAACAATAAATATCTCACCTGATACTCCGATATAACATCAACGAATCGAGAATGTAAACATTGGCTGGCGACGTAAAAACTAAAGCTAGATTCCAGTTTATCTTTTCAAAGTTACGAAAACAAGCACTCGCCCGCGGTCACGAAAACGGCACGCATCGGTACGGCACATACGGTCGCAATTATATACAAGAATACGACAGTTGCTCGGTACTTCGGCGCTTTCGACATTTTGTTTAGCGCTACATAACTAGAACGACGCGACGCGGTAATCGCAATCGCGTACGCGAATGAAAACGTCACGACGATCGGTTTAGTACTTCATGTTTCTGGTAGCTCTTTGTTTACAAGCTCGACATTCATTCAAACACGTAATTCACGACGAGGAAAGGACATGGGGACACTTCTCGCGCCGATGACGAATTATTGCGACGCTGCGTGGAAACTATTATGGCCGCGCATGCGCATCCACGTTTGTCGTTCGCGATAGTCTTGTTTACGAAAAGTTTGACCGGTAATTTCTCGATGCTGTTTTATGGCGAGGCTCGATCGCGATTGTCGAACCGATACGACGTACGATCGCGCGGGTCCATTTGGTGTTTCCGGCACTGTATGGACGCGAAACTCACACTCGGCGATACGAAAAATGAGAAAATCACGAGGAGCGCGACGCAATGCGACCACACGATCGCCGCGGCGCGAATCTGTCATGGCGACTGCGCATGCGCGCGAAATCTTAATATTATAATTAACGATTTGATGCCTTTTTCTTGCTCTCAATAGTTGCTTTCTATTATTTCACACAAGTGACACAAGTCTAAAATTATGTGAGTATTTTATACTCAGATAATGATGGCATTGCTTATAATTGCTTACTTTGGTGACAAAATGTCGCACAACTTAGAATTCTTAATTTTCCAGAAAAATAAAATCGAAGAAAAAATTTTGGGTTTCTTCCAGTTTTTTCTGAAGAACACGGAAAAATTTTTTAAACACTCTTTTAAAGTGTTCTTAATTTTCTGGAAAAGTAAAATCGAGGAAAAATCTAAATTTTTTCCATTTTTTCCAAAAAAATATTCTTTTAATAGGTTCTTTTTCGCCTATATTTGAATTTAATGATAAAATGTTGCTTTAAATTATTTTAAAAAATTATTCTATTTAAAAAAATAGAAGATTCGTCTCAATTTCAAATACAGTGATACGATTGATACGAATTATGAATACGAATTATCAATACGAAAGAATACGAAGATATGAAACGAATGATTGATATGATTACAATATTTACGAACATACTAAACTTTGTCGTACAGCACAGCAATACGTCCCAGACAGCACAGAATATTTATAATTATTATAATGTCTCATTAAGTATTTTCATAACATTTACTGTAACATTCATAATAAATATTTCATAATATTTATAATAAATATTTATGATCTGTGCAATCTAAGATCACAAAAAATATTTACAAGATATTTAAAATAAATCTTATAAATATTTATAAATATTTTGTAAATATTTTGTAAATATTGTGTGCTGTCTGGGTATGTAATAACAATAACATCCTTATAAGAAAATTCTTTTTCCATACTCTGGCATTAAACTTTTTATACGGTTTATCAATCCTCTTTTTCTTTTCATATTGGAAAGAAACTGCCAAAAGGATAAATATTTTCGTGCAGAAAAGGTTCAGTTCTGGAATATAAAAAAAAGAGCAAACTTAAGATCTATTCTCCTTGCTTACACTTTTTTGCACTCAATGTCTTCGCTCTCTCTCTGTTTTCAACACTCGATGTTAAAGAAAAAAAGGCTGGAAAAATATGGCAAAGAAAAAAACCGAAAAAAATCTGATTTTTTCTCAAATTTTCCGAGAATTTATTCGGATTAAGAACACTACAAGTGAGAATTATTATTTAAGTTTTGATATAAATGGAAAGAGCAACTGCAAAGCAGTTATTTTATTGTCAATATATGAAATATTTTGTATTATATAAGTGCAAATAAATTTTGAGCAGATGTACCTTTTCCAAACGATAAACATTATCAGATTTTGTTCCGCCTCGCGATATATTGATTGTAAATTTATTTTCTATCGCCACTAACCGATTGCATTATCGAGAGATTGCGTGGTAAAAATGGAACCAATTTTATCGACTTACGATATCAATATCTGATGCTGTCGGTAATGCGAATTTCTGCAGTATCTTATTGCTACATGTCGATATATTAGATTTGTTCGCGTCTCATGCTCCAACATGTTCCAATATGCTCCTATTGTAGCTCTTACTCACTCCAATGCGCTTGATAGAGTGAGTAGGAACTATGATGGAGCATGTTGGAGCATATTGGAGCTTGCGACGCGATAAACCTACTGAGTAATTATTTTAAGTGATAAAAAGTCTTGTGACATGATAGGCGTGTTGTATGCATCTACAATAAAAATGTTGTAATCCTCGTTTCTCACAAATGATATAAACATCATCAGTAATATAAGAATAGAATCACACTGGAATCTTTTCGAGATCAAAGGACCGACCTAGCTTTAACGTCACCAGGGAATGTTTACATTCTCGATTCGTCGTTGATGTATATCCGAGCATCAGGTGAGATTGTTGCAAACAAGTGAATAACATCGTTGCACGTAATAAATTTTACATCGATCAAAATAAGTAATATCCGAACTTTCAAACTGTTTTATTACAATCTTTTTTTATTGCTTTTTGAAAAGGATAATGATGTTAAATAATCTCACGTTAACCTACGAAATAGTCATCATATTTATATTACTGCGTAATAATTAATTAGCTTGCTTTAAAATTGTTTGTGCAAAGAAAAAAGTAAAATATCATATCTTTTTGCACTTGTCAAGAATTTAAGTGCAATAATGGGTAATGCGGGAAGTAATCAGCCTGTCGGTCATCATCATGGCACTGCAGCAAACAGAGAGCACCGACATAGCAAAGATCATCCTCCACCCTCTCCAGGAAAGGAAGGCCAGGCGTTTGTCTTCGACAAAAAACCCAGCCAGAAGCTTGTATTTCAGTCCTCCCACGAAGACGAAGAACCATACTTTGCAAAAGTAATATTGAGAGATATCCCAAGCAGAACAACAAGTCATTATGATATCAAAATGATGTCAAAATGACTCTAAAATGGTCATTAAGTCATTTTTTAATCATTTCTGATTCATTTTGACATTATCGTGACTTGTTATTCTGCTTGAGATCAAAGTAACGTTTACATACATGTAAAAATATTACATTGTTATTTTATTGGATATGAATAGACTGGTCAACAGGATGGAGAAGACTTTGGATCGCAGCGTCCGAGGTCTAACACGGTGTCCGAGGGTACAAAAGTTGCAGACAATAAGGTGTTACCGACTGTTTTCAAGTGGGAAGGAGGTGGAAAGCAGGTATATATTAGTGGGACATTTACTGGATGGAAAACATTACCGATGGTAAAGAGCCATGGAGATTTTGTTACAATAATTGATCTACCAGAAGGAGAACACCAGTATAAATTTTTTGTTGATGGAGAATGGAGACACGATCCTGGACTGGTGAGTATTACATTTCTTTTAACAGCTTTATGTACATTATTTACAACGTATCTGTACTTCGTATGTTATGTGCTGCATATTAAATTCAGAGATTGTTGTTTTAATGTTATAGAAAATTGTAGACAATGGCATGGGTTCCAAGAACAATTTAGTTTCTGTAAGGAAGTCTGACTTTGAAGTATTTCAAGCTCTGGCAAAAGACAGCGAAGGTGTTACTAGTAGCACTCAAATGGAGTATGGACAAGAAATACCACCGCACAAACCTTGGGAAAAAATAACTGGGCCACCTATTTTACCGCCGCATCTACTACAAGTTATCCTTAACAAGGATACGCCATTATCCGTAAGTTAAGTAATAAATATTTCGACGAAAATTCAATGAGACTTTTTTTGCCATCACGTACTATTTTTTTTCCAGTGTGAGCCTACTCTTCTACCTGAACCAAATCATGTCATGCTGAACCATCTTTACGCTTTGAGCATTAAAGACAGCGTGATGGTCCTATCAGCCACACATCGTTATCGCAAAAAATATGTTACAACTTTGCTTTACAAACCGATTTAAATGTCAAGTCATTCCCGTGTTGGTGCTGTACATTTTTTAATTATCCCGAAATAACACAGGTGCCCAAGTGACGCCATATTAATGCGTAAGATTTTTATGAGCTTTGAAACAATGTAGAAGATTATAATATCTAGAAATGGTTGGTTCGTCGCTATGTTTATTATATCTCAATCATGTGTATAATAATGTAATTATTATTTATTAAAGCCAGATATTTTATATTTGCTATTTTCGCTATTATCAACAAATGGAATCCAAGATAACAGGAATTATTTCGAAATATGTATCTTGAAAGAATATGATTGCTTGTATATAATTTTCATTTAGACACATTATTGTTGGTTACTTCTGATACATGCGCGTAAGGCGGATCCGATCTTGTTCTAAGAAAATATAGACCCTCGGCAGTATGTTCAACATGCTCTCCCATGAGCACTACTTGCGAATTGTTACATTTGCCGCTTAAGTATGAATTCCAGTTGTCGCATTTCTTAGCCGGTAGTCCTGTTTTCGAATTTATACTTTCCACAAAGTATGCATGTGACCGCCCATGACTGCAAGCCTCTGAAATAAATGGAAAGAATAGGATGTTTCTGTTACAAAGATCTACTAACAATGGAAATACTTTACCCATTAACTCAGGAACGCAGCAGCATCCGGGCTGAATCGCCGTACCGGCATTTGGATAAAAGTCTGCTTTTCCAAGTGGTTGAAGAAAGCCTAACACACCGCCGCAGGAATGTATGACGTCGACGAATACTGCATCTGTGGGATCCAAGCGAGTTTTCTCGGAGGCAAATATGTGGAATCCCGGCAACGCTGGATCCAAACCTGTTACTCTACTCAATTTCCCGGAAGTCGTCGCACCGCCCGCATTCCCAGCCACGTGTGCACCAAGGGAATGACCTTGTAGATTAACGACCAATGAAATTGCGATTATAAATAATAATATTGTATTATACGAGACAGTATACCGATAAAGTGAACGTCTTCCGTTTTCAGTCCAGTCTCTCTCACTAAGAAGTCTATGAAGTTAGCGGCATCAGTCCCGACACTTGCGGTGTTATGCATCGGTCCCAAATAAAATGTGCTCGCAGCCAACGGTTCCCAGTCCACAAGGATGACATTGTAATCGCCGTGAGTGAGAAAAGCTGCTCAAAAGAGTGCAAATTATCCATTTTGTTAATGAATTAAAACCGAACTCGCAAATCAATCAGAAAAACAAGCTACCTTCTTTCATGTTGAGAAGATTGGTACTCATGGCGCTCGACTTCCATCCGTGTGTTATGAATTTCGTTTTTCGCGAGGGTTTGAAATCGGAACCAGCAAGATTCGAGGTGTCATTTAGAGTCAGCCGTATGCCTTTTTCCGGATTAGATCTTAAGAATATTACGGAAACCATGATTAAATGAATAATGAAGAATATTGAGACATGATAGCATTTTGCTATAAATAATATACACATTAGGACTTGTGATTGGATACCGAGTGTAAATTATGTAAGCTATTTCTGAGTCTCCTAATACGCCTCTCCTTTCGTTGTCTTGGACCTTTAACACTGCTACTTGAGGCCGTCCATTGCCATCAGGCATAAAAATCCAATCCTCTCCGTAGCCATCGTATCTTTGGCGCAAACCGCTGTCCCATTGTTGCGAATAAACAGAATATCGCAATATAACAAGAATAAAGATTTGTTTTGACACTAGATTCGGTAACATCTTATTGATACTTAATATCGTTATGAGCAAGAAATTGATTGCGAGTCGTGCAATCCTCGCATTAAAACTATGAACAATGGTCACAGCAATTAAATCACTGATGCCACAAAACGGAGACTCCTTTTTAAATCCTGGCGGTATCACGATAAGACGCTGGTACCCTTTCGTTTGGCCTAGTTTTTTCTTGTTTTATCTCGCATGTTGTATCGCAAGCACGGAAGTACTATCAAAAGGGGGATTATAATTACATTCAAAAGGGTACAGGTTTGTACTGAACCAAATAATGTGCAATCTCGTGCATGCATATCGCGGGCGACGTTGAAATCAGCGTCAAAACAGGCTAGTTAACCGATAATTTTACAAACGTCGTAAAGTAACTTAGTATTGCAAATTATTTGCATTACTTTTCTGATACGTGTGTTTTAAACAATGCTGATCACACTGAATAGATGATCGCTTAATACAATTCGCATTATTCAAAACAAATACTGCAGAAGTAATAAATGTAAAGGGATAAAGAAATTTAAAAAAGGTATATACAGAGAGTGTCTCACAACCACAATACTTTCACAAAGCGTATTCTAAAGATAAAATAGAGCAAAAAATCCTAACAGGAAAATGTCGAGGTCACAATCATTTTTTAATTATAACCGATCAAACAGCCAGTGTATATCGCGAAGAGTCCGCGTGCTCAGCTCGTAGTTATTCGCACGTCGATTTGATACTGCATTCACAGTTAATATTGAATTTTTTTTATTGCACAAATAAATATTATGATAAGATATATAATTTCAACAAATCAAGATTTGCAATTTAACAGAAATTTAAATTGTTGAAAAAAATATAGGTCATTTAATCTTACTTTTTTGATTTATTAATACACGATTACACGATAATTAGTTAATACACGATTTTATTCATCTTGAGACAAAAAATGTTAAAGAAGCAATAAATTAAATTTTAGAATTATTTCTTATGTTGTTTCTCAAGTGTGAAACTTTTGTGTTGGATTTAATTTTAATCATAATAATTGCTAATACTGTTACTGCTAATAATCAGTTGTGCAATAAAAAAATTCAACTGTGAATGCAGTATCAGGTCGATGTGCGCGTAATTACGAGCGCGGACTCTACTAGTAGTACATGATATTACTGGCAAATGATCAAACTAGAGTATAAGAATCCTATTAATACTCAAAGTGAGATAACGCAAATAATACATTAATATGTCCTTTCCAAATAAATTTATTTCAAATGACTGTGCACCGATAACTTTTGGACTTTCAACACAATCAACCTGAAACAACAATAATCCCCCCCTAAATTAAATTAGAAAATATGCAAAGAACTTATTGCGAAAAATATAATTTCGACCAGATATCGAAACTGGATCTCTCACTTTTCGGGCGGGCGTCCTCAGGTTAGACAACCATGACTATGAACGGTTGTAATTCAAAAATTATTGTGGCCTTGACATTTTTGTAATAGGATTTTTTATTTTACTTTATCCCCCCTCTCCTCAGACTTTATCTTATACTATGAAAGTATTATACAATGGTTGTGAGACACTATAATACAAACATAATAATATATTCCCATAAGCTACAACTTGTTTCCTTATTTTTCGTATATTTTAGGACTGGTACAAAATACACTTCATAGATTACATAAAAAAATTTCAAAACGTTACCCATAAGTAAGTATTAAAACAGTATTATATGAATAATCTATTCTATAAATAGAAGATTCAGATCTCTCAGATTCACGTTCTTTTTTAATGTTTTCTGAAATGAAAAAAACTATATTTAGACTTATCAGGAGATTATATTTTCATTATGAAAGAGTGAAAGAGACTACTTACTTTCTTTATTTACTTCACTAACGGTAGTAGGTTTTTCAAACTCGTTGATTTCAACAGAACAACCTATATAAGGTATTTTGGGGAATAATCTTTCAAATATCATTGATTCTACAGTAGTTGTATTATATACAGTTCTACGATTCGTGCATATGAACATAAATCCTATATATATTTCTTTAATTTCACTTCATCTTTAAATAACTTTAGTTTTGCTTCGATTCGCTTCTCAGTAATACAGTCCTCTTTTAAAATCGTGGACCACGTCTGTATAGAACCAGTAATCAGGATACCAAATGGGATACAAATCGACTTTCATTCATTATTCTGTTTTGTCTTTTATATTTTAAACTATTACTAACATGTATACGTGATATGAATTTAATGTGTGATAAAAGACTGCATACAGAAACTATCTCATTTCCTTTGCTAAAAAAAAAAATAAACATGTGTTAGCAAGTTAAAAATTGTTGTACAATATAGTTTAACATATCTAAATAGTAAATTCTGATATGTACTGCTGCTTGAATTAAATATACATTATACCTTTTTCGTATAACTGATTGCCAACGACATCCTTTTTCATAGGTCCATATATTACAGAATATCAAAAAACATGTAGACGTTTCATGACTTGGCATAGATTTATGATTAACAATTGTACTTATCACCTCCCGATATACGGCTGTTTTCCTTATGGAATGAAGTGATTTCAATTTAAACGATTTTATTCTAACGTTTGAGATTTGTGGCAAAAATGTGTATACTATATTTGGAAAATGATTTGGATAATGACACATCTCTTAATCCAAAATAGTAAATACACTATATGACATTATAGTCTCACAGTGTTTGGATAGCAAAGTCTTTATGCATTCTTAAACAAACAAAAAATTGATTTTAACAATTCCAGATTATTCTATAACTTACAGGGAAAAATAAATAAAAGAACTAGTATCAAGAAGTATTAAAATAAAATATTTACTTGCTACTTGTTGATAAGGTTTCCTATTTATGTAATTACTTATTTGTAACACAAGTGAATATAAAAATTACGTATTAATATAGAGTGCCTTCTATTTAGTAACATAAGTGTCACAAGTCGACACAAGTATGATTACTCATGGAATGCAAAGAAAGATAGAATGATATTTACGTCAATTTGTGTCACTAAATGGAAGGCACATATATGTACGAGCAAGTTGTGTTACTAAAATCCTAATTTTTAAACATCAACAATTTTTACGATCTTCTGTATGCTATACATATTGCACTAAATGCAATATAGGATAAATAAATCGACAAAGGTTGTTATTTCTATAATTCTTGCTACATCTTCCATATGTTATCTAGGAAGAAACACGAAAAAATAAAAAATAAAAACATAGTACGAATATATAATAATATATTATCATAAATCATAACTTGTTTCTCTTCGGTAACATCATTTTAGGACTCGTATAAAATACACGTTCGCAAATTACATCTAAAAATAAAGTACAAATCTCTATATTCAGATTTATTGCTTCATTAAACTGCATATTTTGTTCTGTGAATATCGGAGCACCATTGTTTTCATGTCTCTTAACAAAAAAATCGATAAATACAAGACCTAAATCTAGTAATGCACGAGTGATAAAATATGTTGTAGAACATAGCACTCATACATGTCTTTTTTCAAAACATCAACCATATGTAAGTATCAAAAATGCGGTAGAGAATTCATTAGACCAAGATTTCGATCTCTTGCACTTACATTCCTCGATGTTTTCTAAAACCAAAAAAAAAACCTATATATATTGACTTATTTTCACTAAGAAGACATTTTCATTAAGAAAGAAAAGAAATTACTTACTTTCTTTATTTACTTTATCAATGACAGTGGATTTTCCAAATTCGCCATAACCAAAGCAACCTACTAAGGGTACTTTGGGGAATAATCTTTTAAATATTGCTGATTCTACATTAGTTTCGTTATACATTTCGTTTCCACGAGCTATGCACATGAACATAAATCCTATGGAATGTTTCTTTAACTTGACTTCATTCTTAAATAACTTTAGTTTTGCTTCTGCTTGCTCCTTTGTACGATTTTGTAAAATAATAGACCATGTCTGTATAGAACCAGTAATCAGAACAGCAATACAATATGGTATATCCATTCTATGAATTAATCTATGTCTTGTTTGTCTTTTGCACAACCTTTCATTTTGTATACGTTGTGCATAAAGATCTTCCAACACACCACCCCATACAGAAATTATTTCATTTTCTTTGCTGAATATATGCAAAAAGAAATAAATATGTATTATCAGGTATCAGCCATCGTTATATAACAGTTGGACATAATAATTACTTGGATATATGTATTGCTTGGAATATAAATTATACCTTTTTTGTACAGCTCTGGCCCAACGTTTTGCTATTGTACGACCTTCCAAATTACAGAATAACATAAAACAGGTTTCGTGATTCGACACTGATGCTTCATGATTAATAATTGTGTTCATTATCTCCCGATATTCGGCTGATTCCTGTATACTATTATGTTCTGCTACTTTAAATGATTTTATTCTCACATTTGGAATTTGTGGCAAAAACGCACATACCATAAATGGAAATGGATCTTCCATCTCTCTATCCATAATGATACCTCTACTATATAATATTATAGTCTCACAATGTTCAGGTAGCAAAGCCTCTATGCGCTCTTAAACAAAAACAAAAAATTGATTTTAACAATCCTAGATTATTCTATGACTTTGGAAAAAATAAATAAAAGGAATAGTATTAAAATGGTATTAAAATAATCAAAAAGTAGTTAGTCATAATTTAAAATAAAATATTTATTAGCTACCTATTGAGATAAAGTCTTTTTATTCCTCTAATTATTTATTTGTAATCTAAGAGAATATAAAAAATATTAAATATATACCTTCTACATCGCGTGGTGTATTTTCAGGAATAAAAAAGAAACCAGCTGATGGTTTAACTCTTAGATTTTCGACACTTAAAAAATCTACAAACAACTGTTCTGGTTCGTAAAGTTGTATAAAGCAACAAGGACCTCTAGTCCATTTCTCATTATTTACGGCTTCTAACCAGGATCTGAAAAGAATAATTTTATGCTTGAATTTTCATGCTGCGTTCAGCTAATAATGTATGTACTTTTCATTTGCAGTACAATGATGTGAAATATATATCAATAATTTTATCACAATTAAACATTTAAAGACACAACATGTTTACGTAAACAAAATGTAAGTCAAATTTTGTTTGTATCCATTCGCGTGCATGTGATACAGAAATTATAACCATTCTACTTGTATTAAATATAAGTGTTTAGGATTACATCAAACAAGAATTATTAATGCATCATCAATATGTACCTGCAAACCTTCGCAGCGTTTGCTAGGTCTCTGGCATTTAAATATTGAAAGACAATTCTCAAAATATCGTAGGTTAGATAAGTACTGGGATCCAATATATTTTCATTGCTTTGCGTTGCACTATCGGATGCATTAGGTTTTTCCTTCCGAGCTTTCTTTCGTACTGGATCCTCCATTAATCTTTTTCAATTTAAACCAGCCGTTTGTTAAAATATCACAGCAAAATAACACAATGCAATACCACCGTGAAAATAGTACAAGAGCGCAAATCGCAACGCGCACCGTAAACACAGTAGATATGTGTGTCGTGCGTCATGTGCGTATATATCCATATATATAAAATTAAATGATTGGAGGGCACCTATCAACAAGACAAGTCGAAATGGATTCCGAATTTCGATTGGCGTTTTCCCTAGAAAACACATGGCTGCGCTCAGCAGAGAAAACTAATCAGCTAGCGCTTAGTGATTCTTTAATATGATTGGTTCCTACACTTAAGATCCAGTGAAGAACTAAAAGAAAGAACCAATCATATAAAGAATCACTAAGAGCTGATTAGTTTTTTCTGCTGAACGCAGCAAATAACAATGTGTTACATATATATATATATATACATATACATTGTTTTTATTATCCTAATATATACATACAATATTCTCGATCCAAGTTCTTACAGTATTTATTTTGATCGATTTATTTTATTGAAATTAAAGAAAGTATTACACGCATCTTTTATAAGTATATAAAAATTTATTAAGATAACAAAAAAATTTATAATTCTTACAAGATAATCTTTAACATAGATATATTACACATCATTTGCATCAAAATAATTTTAACCAATTAAATGTACCTGAATAAGAATTAAATTATGTTTGGCATTGTTATAATACCCGGTTGAATGTATGATATCGACATTGACACATATGCTAATACTATTTGAGAACCTTTCGCATCCTGTTGTAAGCGATTTAACTCAACAGGTTGTAGGATCGAATCTTCTTTTCTGCAATTTTTTGGGAATTATTAAACGTTAATATCTTTTGTACAGAAATACTTTTTTTAATTACCAGATAATACCTTATCACTACCAGGCTGTACAATGGTTGACCAGGATTTGCCTTTTTATAATGATGTGTACAAGAATATACATTATATGATATCTTATATTTGCTCTTTTTCCTTCTAACAGTTCTTTCTGGTGCTGATTTGATTATAGCGAGTTTATTGAAAATTTCTGTCATTGAGGATACGTTCCTCGGACTGACTAAAGGATTGAGAAATTTTACGACTTGCACTTCGGTGCAATCTTCCTCACTTTCGTTCTTGTTTTTACAATCTTCATCGTCGATTGTAATGGTTTTTTCTTCAAACCACCTTTTCTTCAATTCCGTCCATGAACTAGCTCCTAAACGTGTCGTAAAGGAAGGTCGATTAATAATCTCGTGACCGACTAGACTATTGGTATCATCGTGTCGTCGCCTTGCAACAGGATGTGTACTGCTGTGCATCGACGCGTTTTCCATCATTCTCCGCTGACAAAATCTTTGTTGCCATAAAATATTTTGATAAAAATTGTGTCGGAGTTGGTTCTCCGTAAAAAAATGTCTTGTTCGATATCCTTCTATGATAGGTATCATGAAATTGTTCATCTGTATGGTGTAACTTCTTTGCTGAACAGTGTTCCCATGGTTGCCAAAGGCGACAAATAAATTTTGAAATACATTCTGCGTGACTCTATTCTGCAAATAAACGTCTGGAAAGTAATTGAACGGAAATCTATATGCGTAAGGCAAGCTAATATTCGTTCCATGCATTTGGTCTACAGAATAAAAAGATCGCGATGGACTGCGTAAGAGAGAACGTTGATTTTGAAAGAAAGCGTTTCTGTTATTAACGGCAAGAGGACTCCTAGAGTGAGACGCGTTTTGTCTCGCGTTAGTTCTATCATTTTTGCAATTCTGTCGCGCTCGTTTGTCGTTTTCCTGCATATTTAAAATCATCGTCCGATTGTATTGGTATGTGCTCCTCTGAGGCCTTATATTGTGCGGTATATATCGCCTGGAAACTTTCTCGTTAATTTCCGATTGGAAGGCAATATTTGGTAGCAGATTTAACATTTCCATTCTTGTCATACAACGTGGTAATTCCTGAACTTCATCATCAGATAACTCAATCACCTAATTAAAAAGAGAAAAAATTATTTTTGACAAATGCTTTGTACTATGTATATTTGAGAGTATCTTACCTCATGCTTTGACTTTTTTATATGTAACTCATCAATTTGCGAAACTATCTTCCGCTTCTCTGAATATTTGGAATTTTCACTGGTGTCAGAATCGATTATAGAAATTTCTGGAAATGATACTTTATCGTTTCGTTTAGGCAACTGCTTTACATTACGTTGAATGCGAGCACCCGGCCATGATACTTTACACGATGTGTCTCTGAGAATTTTGATATTGCCTAACAAAGTTTCATCGGAAATTATTTCTGGTTTAGAATGTCGATTTTTTTCTTCGCTGTTTACAGCCTTTTCAGTCACATTATTTTCTATTACTCGGGAAGTAGCTGGCTCATTTTCATGTTTCATTATATTACATACAACTTGGTCTACTAGATCAAATACTACTTGTTTTACAAATTCTTGTATCGTAGTCTTTTCATGGTCTTCCACATTAAGACTAACAGATTTATCCGATGTTTCCGGCATATCGTTCGTTAAAGTTAGTTTTGATTTCTTTATACTTTGCTTATTCTGTGGTTGGTTATCAGACATTCTCAATCCGTTCTCAGGATCAACAATAATTTTCCGTTTAACAGGAATAAGCTCATCCAATCTGTTGCACTTATCTGACTCTTCATAAAAGTAGCGCTGTATACGGTAGCCATAACGTGTTAATTGACTATAAACCCTATATTCTTCCAGGGTACATACTGAGTCATCAATCAAGATTGCATATGCTTGCTGAATTGAGCATGATAATCCATTCCAAATGAGTTCAAGGCAATTCTATAACACATACAAGAGAATACATTAAATAAATATGATGTAATAATTGAAGCATTATTAAAAAATAATATACAAATTATAGAAAACATACTGTTTCTATGAGAAATAACGCTTCTTCTGGTAACAAGTATAAGGAACCGTTTTTCTCCAGACCAAAATTGCTCCAGTCTTGACCAGATCTTTTAGTAACAAGAGCTCGCTTTTGGGATGATAGCCACTCGGCACTAGCTAATTCTGAGATACGTTCGACTCTCTCGACATTTAACAAATCTTTACGTTTTTTAAGTCCTTTCTCAATCTGAACATTTTGAAGCCAAGAGTTATCAGGTTCAAAATGCTTCTTTCCACTTTTCGGCAAAGTCTTTAAAGACCTCTCCCATTCCTCCAGTAAGCAAGTACTGATACCCTTATTGCACAACAATTCTTTGGCCCTGTTTGTAAAGAATCAATTTTTATTTAATTAATTAACTGTATCATTTAACGCATGCATTATTAATTATAATTTTCGATGAAACAAACAACGTAATTTTACGTCCATCAAGATTTAAATTCAAGATTTATTTAGGATAAAATAAATTTTAATTTTTTTAACGGTTCTTAAAATTAAAATTTGAAAAAAAAAGAATAACAAACATATGAAGAATAATAAGTAGAATAACACGACTTCTTTACATTTGGGCAATGCCAATTAAATCTAATAACTCTGGTTAATTATTTTGATGACAAACTATTGTAAAAAAAAAAGGTTACAAATTGTTACTTACGTCAGCGTGTTGCACGGTAATTTTTCAGATGGATCATCCATCACGAGAAACGAATATCCATCCACAAATATCTATGGGAAACAATGCTACAGAAAGTATGAAACGTAGTTCAAAATACGCATATTAAAATTTCTCAATATTATTTAAAATTGTATACTGTGCTTAAATAACAGGTATCTACACCGGCAAAAGATGAATCGTGGCAGATTACAGTATTCGACGAGATCGATTCGCGTTATCTTATATACACACAGACAGTACATCAGACACAATGTATCAATTGTCTGATACAATGAATCTCAATGTTTGTTCTTTGCAATTGTCTACTCTTTTCTCTTTCCAAGTACCCTGTTCTCTTTCTAATATCTATCTGTATATTTGTTATTTTTTGGTGCAAAGAAGTAGAAAGTAGAATATAATGCAGCTTTAAAGAACACACCTTAAGTTATGTTTGCAATTCCCATCTTTTCTCTCTTTTCGGGAGCTTTCCAACAAGCGACACTGTGTTATACAGGTTGTATGTACTAACAATGAGTCGCTTGTTGGAAAATACCCCTTTTCAGCTGAACTTCTTGCACGATTCATCTTTTCTCTTTTTCTCTTCAACGTGAAGAGAAAAGGAAGAAAGATGAACCGTGCAAAAACTTCAGCTAAAAAGAACAGACATCTGTTGTCTCTTGCAGCTCCCTTTAACGCCCAATTGTTCAATTTGGGCGCTATATGTAAAAGGAAAATAGAATAGAATGAAAGCTTACGGCGCGTGAACGTCCAAATCGAATATAGCCAATAGGTTTGTTGTTTTAAATGAACCGTGAGGAACCTGGAATGAACAACAATCGGGCTGCGTTCGGAAACATCACCCCGGTGTCCCCGTGTATCGTTTTATCCTTATTTAACATTGGGTGAATACAAGGATAAAACGACACGCGGGACACTCGGGTGAACGTAGCCTCGATCATATCTAGGGGAAACAACATTCGTTTCAATGGCTGCGTTCAGCAGAACGTTTGTTTTGCAACTGTTGTAAGTTTCCTTCGCGCTAATTGGATCATACTTTTAGATCTAGAAGAATGGTCCTATCTCAGCAGACAATCATAAAACGGTTGCAAAACTGTTGAGTCTGCTGAACGCAGCTAATGCTAGCAACAGTAGCACAACTTGCCGTTGCTCACAGACGACAAACGAGGGCGCTTTTCCGATCCCATATTCCCATCCCCCGCGCGTCTCCACTGTCGGCACTGTCACCAACTCACCAGTAACAATAAACTCCAAGTTTGTAACGGGCCACTCCTCTTGTTGGTGACTCCACGCGATGTGTGTAACCGATGTGCCTGACGTCTTGGCTTGAGTATCCTCGTTCGTAGGCGCGCGTCCTGAGTGCGGTGATGCTAATCGTGCGCGACGCACGCTGACACGGCGGATTAGACTTGATCAGGAAATCGTGATCCCGAGGTGAGCGCCGATGACACGCGAGTCGAGGAATGTGCGTTTGGGCGTTGACCGCCGCGCGCCGCCTAACCCCGCAAGAGCGATTCCGTTTCGCGTAATTTTTTAACGTATCGTCGGCTACAGCGGCCGGAAAGCGATGATACCGTCTTATTAAATAACACAGAAAATCGACCACGTCTTACAAGTCGTAACGTATTGCCCATAAAAGGCTGACACATATATGTGTCAAAAGTTGTATTTATTTACGTCATGGATTTTTAATATGGCTAATATAGGGGACAATTGACTGTAATTGATGTTATGAGGCACGTTCTAATTCTGAGTGTTTCCCAGGTGTCATGTTTATTCTTGGCAGAGAAGGCAGCTTTGCAATTGTTGTAAAATTCTTCATTGTAATTGATTTATACATTTAAATTTAAGGGTAAGACCAGCTATATTAAAGAATTTTACAACAGTTGGAAAGCTGCTATTGCTCCGTTAAATGCAATCTTTGTTTAACATTCGATGACCAATAAGGATAAAATGATATCTAGGTGGCATTCAGATGAGAATCTAAACCTAGCTTGAATGCTTTCTGCAAAGGCTATTCTAAAATTAACTGCCAGTTGAGCTGCCACTACTAAAATATTATAGTGTACTCAATGTAAACTATAGATTTTCGGTATTGAATGTTGGAACACAGCCAAAGAGACACAGATAACATAGTACAACACAGTGAATTATTACATTTTTGTTTAACATTAAACAAAAATAAAATGATTACTATGTTGTTCTATGTTTTTTACTGGGCTATGTTCTAAACTGTGGCTACAGTAATCAAAATTATAGTTTATGTGATGTCAATCATAGTTTTGGTTACAGTAGTTCTGTTCTGGAATATATTCTTAGAAAGCATCATATATCATCACTCTTGTGTTGTCCACAAATTGATCCTTGTGTCATTTCGCTTTTTGACACAAACAGGTTTTAGTTTTTTTTCACAACATCCAAGAGAGCGTCTTAAAAGTATTTTCGAATATTTTCATAGAATATAAATTAATAATGAATTATATATTTCAGAAAAAATGTTAGTCTGGATCCTCTTATTGTTCTTGGGTTCTGGAAATGGCCAGTTTACCCAGGAGCCAACAGAATCCACCCCCAGACTTCCATGGAATCGTTATGACGAATGGGATCAGAATGCAGGCTTTGGATTCCGGAATCCTTCAGGCCAAAATGAAAACGTTATAATTAAAGACTCGTGAGTATCGCTATGTTGAATATGTAACAATGGAAAAAGATATTATTTGAATAAGAAATGATTTAACATAATGAATATTTTTCATTTATTTGCAGCACATATTTCATTGTTGCGTCTCGCATGGTTAGGCCAGGTCAAGTGTACAGACTTGCTGTGAACATTCTTCATAGCCCGCTGCCTATGATGGTACGTACATCCATTCAACGAAATGGTGTGGAAATAGCGGCGGATCATCAAGAAGTAAAGGAGGGTATACCTGAAACTTTAATGATGCGCATGCCACCCACTTCCGTGGATGGTGACTATAAATTGCGGGTAGAAGGGTTGTTTAACAGTTTAACAGGTGGCCAAGCCTTTTTAAATGAAACCAAACTGATATTCTCGCAACGTTCCATGACCATTTTTATACAATTGGACAAACCCGTGTATATGCAGGGCGATACAGTACGTTTTAGAACGATCCCAATCGATACAGAGTTGAAAGCTTACGATAATCCTGTGGATGTATATATGTTAGATCCAAATAGAAGGATTATGAGACGGTGGCTCAGCAGACAGAGCAATCTGGGTACGGTGTCGCTATCGTACCAGCTTTCTGATCAACCGGTTTTTGGAGAGTGGATCGTGCAAGTAATAGCTCAGAATCAAGTGGAGGAAAAGAGATTTCTTGTAGAAGAATATTATCAAACGCGTTTCGAAGTCAATGTCACGATGCCAGCGTTCTTTTTCGACAACGATCCCTATATTTACGGTATCGTTCAGGCAAATTATACATCGGGCGCACCGGTGAGAGGTAATTTGACTCTAAAAGCCAGTTTTAAGCCACTGGATAGAATACGCACTTCCTCAGCGGCGATCGAACCAGTCGAGAGATACTTCAACTTCAACGAGTATTATCCATCATGGTTTAGGATACTTAATTTCTATGAGGAGAGAGTACCAGTACTGAGATTCTTCAATGGAACGTATCACTTCCGATATCCTATGCAGGAATTGTTGGGCTTCGCTCCGTCGATTGACGGAATGGAAGTCACTGTGGTCGCGACAGTGGGTGAGAGATTTTTAGACGAGGTGATCGTCGGTTACTCTAAGGCAAGGATCTTCAATTCCACCACAAAGATTCGTTTCCTTGGTGGCAGTCCACAGATCTTCAAGCCAGCGATGCCGTTTACTTTGAATTTAGTTGCATCTTTCCACGACAACTCGCCACTACGGTCCACGCAGCTCAGGGACGCCATGATGGAGATCCGCGCAGACATTGAGATGCGATCTGGCGGACGTCGCAACATTGACATCGAATATCCGAGAGCATCACCAGAACATGCGGACGCGTGGGTCGTGAAAATGAATCTCAGGAAACAGCTCGGGCTAGAATCTGATCGCGCCAATCAAATTCTGGACGACATCTCCTCTATGAGGGTTCATGCGCATTTTACTGATGGCGAGGGTTACAGAACTCAGACCGAGCTGCTACTGCTCGCCCATGATTCTCCGAATATGAAGCACATCAAGATATCAACATCTACCGAAAATCCCAAAGTCGGCCAATACATGGTATTCCATGTACAGACTAATTTCTATATTGATGTCTTTAACTATCTCGTCATGTCTAAAGGCATCATACTTCTGACTGGTGAAGACAATATGCAGCACAATATAAAAACTTTCGCGATTCCTCTGAGCCCTGAGATGGCTCCTGTCGCAACGGCGGTGGTGTATTATGTGGGCCGTCATGGCGAAGTTGTTGCAGATTCCCTGACTTTCCCAGTAAACGGCATCTCGCGCAATAACTTTACTGTGTTTATCAACAACAAAAAGGCAAGAACGGGCGAGCGCGTTGAGATAGCCATTTATGGCGAACCTGGCGCCTACGTCGCTTTATCGGGCATCGACCGTTCATTCTACACTATGCAAGCAGGCAATGAGCTGTCATATGCAAACGTAATCTCAAAGATGGCTCACTTTGATGAGGAGACCAACGGCACGCACACGCACACTTGGCAGTATCACGACGGTGATCCGGATGAGATGATATATTTTCCATCCTCCACCTTTGGTATTGACGTCAATCGCACATTTGATTATATTGGCCTAGTCGTCTTCACGGATGCTATGTTATACCGACGACCCGATACGTGCAATCGAACGCAAGGTTACGGCGAATGCTTAACTACAGGTCGTTGCTACAGGTTGGAGAAAAAATGCGATGGTGTATTTGATTGTGAGGACGGCACAGACGAGGCGCGATCGAATCCAAAGGCACTATGAGAATGTTTGGCTGTGGAAAGATATCAACATCGGCCCGCATGGCCGACAGATCTTCAACCTGGATGTACCACGGAGACCAGTACATTGGATGGTCACCGCTTTCAGCATGTCGCCTAGTATCGGATTTGGTATGTTACCGAAGGCGCTAGAGTATACCGGAGTCTTGCCGTTCTATATAAACGTGGAGATGCCAGCTCACAGCAGACAAGGCGAGCAAATTGGTATTCGTGTGTCCGTCTTCAATTACATGCACTACAATATCGAGGCAACAGTGGTACTGGCGGGATCCAAAGACTATAAATTTGTTCACGTTGAGGACAATGGCATTGTGCAGTCGTACAAACCGCGTACCTCTTTTGGCGAGCATCAATTTTTCATCTGGATTCCTGCTCAAGATGTCAATATTGTTTATCTGCCTATCGTACCAGTAAGACTTGGCGACATTAAAATTCACGTTTATGCGACTACTCTAATCGGTAGGGATTCGGTGACTCGCAACCTGCATGTTGAAGCAGACGGAGTGCCGCAATATCGACATCAATCGATTTTGCTGGATCTTAGCAATCGCGCCTATATACAAGAATACCTGCACGTGAACGTTACTGAAACCCCGATCATACCATACGATGAGAGCCGTTACTATGTATTCGGATCTAACAAAGCAACCATCAGTTTGGTTGGTGATGTAGTGGGGCCTATCTTCCCGACAATGCCGGTGAATGCAACGAGCCTTATAAATCTGCCGATGGACTGTGCCGAGCAGAACATGTTCAGTTTTGCCGCTAACATGTATACCACCCTATATATGCGCTTGATCAATCAACGTAATCGCACACAAGAAAAGGAAAGTTTCTACTACATGAACATTGGCTATCAAAAACAGTTATCGTTCATGAATCCCGACGGATCTTTCAGCTTTTTCCGCACTGACTGGAATCAATCAATGCCGAGTGTTTGGCTGACGGCATTCTGCGCACGAATTTTCCAAGAGGCTAGCTTCTATGAGTGGGAGAATTTCCTTTACATTGATCCCGAAGTGATTTCCCAAGCGATTTCTTGGATATTGAAACATCAGACACCGGAAGGCGCATTCTACGAAGTAACCTGGTTACCAGATCGAAAGATGAACAGCTCCTTGAACTATAAAGATGACATAATCGCCCATCGAAACATCAGTCTCACCGCTCATGTACTCATCACACTGCAGAGTGTCAAGGATCTCACAGGTGGCTTAGGTTCTCAAGTGGCCCTGAGCGCGGCCAATGCTATCAAATGGTTGGAGAGGAACCTGAAGTTGTTGGAAGAGCGCGGTAAACCTTATGAGGTAGCAATAGTGGCCTATGCACTCTTGGTGGCGAAAGCCTCTACTGCCGAGCAAGCCTTCACTATCCTAGCGCGACACGAACGGAGAGAGGGCGAATATAGGTACTGGGGCAGAGAACACGTACCGCCTCCTCCGACTAAGATGGAGAATCAGAAGCAGTTTAGACTGCCACGCTTACCCTTCGATTACGATTCAGAGAACATAGAGACGACTTCGTACGCGCTACTTGTTTACGTCGCCCGACAAGAACTTATGTTAGAACCGATAATGAGATGGCTGAATGTACAGAGATTAACGAACGGTGGATGGGCCTCCACTCAGGATACTGTTTGGGCGATGAAGGCACTAATGGAATATACCGTCAGATCGAGAATCAGGGACGTCAGTTCGCTCACTGTAGATATAGAATTTAGTTCCGTAATAAACAAGACCGAGACATTGACCGTGAATCACAAAAATCTAGCGAAACTTCAAACTATTGAGGTATGTAACATTTTGGCTACGGTCCACTTAATGCTACAAATACTTGAAAGCATTTTTTTATTAGCCAATTAGTAAAATTCTTTTTTCCGATTGGTCAATCCGAAAGCTTCAAAGTATTTATAGCGCCAAGTGGATCGCACCATTTGAGACACGTTCATGTTTCGTGAAACGTATTAAAACGACGCTTTAATTACACGATTATCATTTTTTCAGATCCCGCAAGCGTGGGGAATCGTGAAAGTGCAGGCGAAGGGTGCAGGTTACGCCATTCTACAGATGCACGTGCAATATAACGTTGATATAAAGAAATTCCAAACAGAACCGCCGATCAAAGCCTTCGATCTAGTCACTAGAGCGAATTTCCATGGCAGAAATCAGTCTCACATCTCGTATCTTTGCTGTCAAAGGTGAGATTGCATATAATCATAATAATATCTCGCCTTATTTTTATATCCATAATAAAAATGTGTTACGTTTCCACACAGATGGACGAATCTCAACGAATCTACGCGATCCGGCATGGCTGTGTTGGATGTAGCTGTACCAACCGGTTACATAATCCAGCAGCAAACTCTAGATGGATACATCCTATCGAAACAAGTAAGGAATCTCCAGAGAGCACGTTTCCAAGAAAGAAAAGTGCTCTTTTACTTCGATTATCTAGACAGCGAAGAGACGTGCGTAAACTTCACGATGGAACGTTGGTATCCAGTCGCAAATATGTCGCGATACCTTTCCATTCGCGTTTACGATTATTATGCGCCAGGTATTTATATATTTTCACTAAATTTAACTTGCTTATATTGCGATTGATATGCATATTGATATTTATTTACCTTTTTTTCAGAACGCTTCAACGAATCTATATTTGACGCACTGCCTACATACACATTGAATATATGCGAGGTTTGCGGTAGCTCCCAGTGCCCTTACTGCCCAATTTATAATGCTGCCATGCTATTAAGTACACCAACAGGTTTCCTGCTTATCGCATCGCTCATCGTAACAATAACAAGATACTTCCGAACGCAGCAATTCGGCGACGACCTATTAACAGCAAGCTCTATTTAGCGGTAATGTAAAGGTAAAAGTATTCGATTCTTATCCAATTGCCATAATTTGCCTCTGCTAATGGAGCACAAATATGGAACGTTACAATAATCAGAACATAGTACATGTCCACGAATCTCATTACTATAAATATCTGAGGACCGTTTTATATAACTTTTCAAATATGACATACGTATGCAATGACTAATGTTAATGATGAGTTTTAAGTCTCAATTTCTATTTCCAGTGGAGCTAATCACTTTATAATTTTAACTGTTTTTGTACGAAAATTTTGCTCATGCTGAAGATTTTTTGCTGCACAGTCTATTGTAGCTCAGGATATTTTGTAATTATAAAAATCTCATGATTTTTTTTTATATACCTATTTTTATATAGTTTCGCACCTTCAAATAATAACTGTAGAAGATCATTTTCAAGAGTGAAATAAGAATAATTAATATTTTGTTGCTTGCTTGAAGTAATATAAATATAGTTTTAAAAAATTTTTTAAGGCTGAAGTTTAATTGAAAAGAGAAAATTTTGTTTCTTGTAACTGCAATTTATATTTACAGCTGTAATTTGATACAACTAATGTGAAATAAATTTATCGTTTATTTATATAGCCGCAACAGTTTGGTTGCGTTATGCCGTTCGAAAACTATTATAAATATTATTAAATAAATGTTAGAAAACTTTATTTTACATGTACATGTTTATTTATATTTTACAAAGTTTGCAACTAGTAAACGAAATCGGCGAAAAGACATTCGTGCAATGTTTCTGGACTGTATATTTCTTTTATCAGAAGATGAAAACTAACATTAAATTCTAATCTTTACTATCAATTATTCATATTTTGTGAAGATCAATATATCCATTATTTTCCAGGAAACTTGCTTCTATTCGATACTCTCAACTAAGAATGCTGTAAATTTAAATACTTAAGTATAATAAGTATATTTAAATATACACTTAGTATAATTTAATTATACAAAGCGCACAAAACTGATTCATAAGATTGCACGATCAAAAATAATCATTTCTGGAAGTATTAATGTATTTTATATAATTTCGTGCATTTTTTATATAATGTCCATATTTTTATATATTATTTAACGATTAGGTATATTATTATCTATAAATATTATCCGTCTTGTTTGTAATTTTAAATCTTTAAATCTTAAAATGCATGAAATTTTTATGTTTTACATGATTATGGCATTGTACTTTTGGAGGCAAAGCATCTGAAGTACAAAATCAAGTGTAATAGTTGCAGCCGGCGATTTTCGTCAGCTACACTATTAACTATTATTACCAAAAGATTTACTGCAAGTGTTCATAGTGGCTATATGAATATACCGAAAAAAATATATTAATTTCAGGTTTTAATAAGCTGTCATATAAATTGCTTTTTTATGTTTTTTTCTGTCAGTAATTTTTATAGCTTGAAGATTATTTCTTCCTAATATTTCTTACTCTGTTTTGCGAAGTTATTCGTAGATCGTGCTTTCATAGTACTCGTTAATATTCTTAATTTTAAAAATTAATTTCTGCTTCTCATATTGTTTTAATTCTCAAATATAAGAAAAGGATCAATTAAAGAGATATACAGAACAAGTTAATGTGATCGGCAAACTGTGTAAATAGTAGCGTAGGAAAAACAGATGTATTCCAGCCCGATTCACAAAATCGGGTAAATGATACCGTCCTGTTTATATATACATACTTACGTATAAAGAGATTTTTATGCCGTCCCTTGATAATTAGTGCCTGAAGAGTTATACAATTATGTGTATAAATATGTATCTGTTTTGAAACAAACATCAAAGATCTATTTTAATAACATAGCACATAAATATGTATATTACAAGATATATATATATATTAAAGTTTAGATTTTAATTAGTATAATTAGTTACGTGTCATACTGGTGCGCTTTAAGGGTCTATTTTGGATTTAAAATGTTATCTATTGCAAAACGGCAAATTTTTATCCATTTGAAAAATTTATTTATTACACGCGACTCAATATACTGGCACTATTAATAAACGAAACCCTTAAAACACATCCGTGTGAGGTGAACAATGTCGAGATACCGTCCATGAAGAAGTCTGCTTCACAATACAAATAAAAAAATATATATATATTTAAAATATTTGAATAACAATTTGTTCAAATTGCGAAGAAAATTTTTGCACGATATATCGCGTGTTAAGGCGCTTTTTTTTAGTTACTAACGAAATCGACATTTAACATGTTGGATATATATATATATATTTTTAAGTTTTACAACCTTTATACGAATGAACAATAAAAAAATATGTATGTATTATTATGTCTTAATATGCTTTTTTTCCCAGGACCCAGTTTTTAATTAATCAGTTTTATTTAAGAAAAATAAAGGTGTGGCACGTATCTTTGTGTGAAAGCGGTTGATCACTAATTTCAGAAACAATAAAATTAATGCACATTTGATAAAAGATTACAGAATTCAGAAATGTAGGAGAAAAAAAAGGATGTAATAAAGTTCCATTGGCCTGTTTTTGAAGCAATCTTTAATATAGCAACATAGTCAGTCTTACAGTAATAAGCCAAAAATACAATCTATATATCAAGCTTGATGGGGAACGGGCGAAGGTATTCTTTCCTTCTTTCGTGAGTATCTTCGGCGAGGCTGGTCGCAACCCAAGAGTCTCACACAGCCAGAAAAAGCGCGTCGCTTTCGCCCGGACCCCTTGACAAATTTTACAATTTTACACAATCATAATGTATCACGTTCGCGAAATTGTAGGTCCTGCTCTCCACTGGTGCGGTTTCGCATAACTAATAAGACGCACAACATTCTTAACTTCCTTTTCTAGCTTTCTCTCTATCGCGCCAAACGGAATGGTCGTAGCTTTGAGACAAGAATGAAATTATTTTTCCAATATCAAAAAATTATCATTGAAGCTTGGGAACTGATTTCCGCCGCGTATCCCATAAATGAGTCTAAATGAGCAATATTATAAATCTGATTCTTGCGACAATGCAAAATGATTTGATTCTTTGCAAGACGATTTTTAATTCTTGAAATAATTGAATGTGTTTCATACAATTTGCCGTTTGCGTAGATTATCCTACAATTTAAAAGACTTCGAATTCATTTAGTTCATAAAATTTACTATAAAAGATTGAACGATCTAAATTTGCGTCACAGAAATGTGACACATTAAATATATATAGTTTTTTTATAAAATATCTAAAAATTCGATTGCTAAAAACATTCCAGCAACATATAGTTTACATAGCTTTTACGCTTATAATTAAAATATTTCCAAAATAACGTTTCGTATAAGTTACAAGACGTGGTATGATATCAAAAAGAAAATGGTGCACAATTTTTATTCGTTTTTCTATAGATTCGCTTTAGGTAAACATTTCTAAAATTACGACGATCAACTATAATGATCAATATAATAAATCAATAATGAGCTCGGTCTTATTCTTGATTTTTCGTTAAAAGCTAATCATGTAAAACATATCTGAAATATCTCATCTCTTTCATCGAAGAAGAAATAGCTGAGAATATAAGCTATATTAGGTACTAGCTGTACAGAAAATATTGAATGCAATATATTCACGTGGTCGTCCTTCAACCAAGAGAGCGCGAAATATCTCTGGAAACGCAATTTTTTGGCAGTTATACATAAACAATTTGGCTGTTTGATTAATATTATCCCGAAATGACATTCCCTCGCGCTAATCAATCTATGCTTTAAATTCAAAGCCCACGCATCCGATCCCACGTGTAACACCTCGCACAGATCCCGGACTCTTATTCCGACGTTCGGACCTAAGTAAAAAAAAGTAATCAGGGCAGGAGGAAACGATCGATACAAATATATAGATATATTATAATATAATAGAGTTATTTGATGAAACATTTAAAGCCTTACAATAAAATATACAGTATGATGTGTGGTGTCGTCGTATTTCCGTGTGTGAGCGTGTACTCGTGTACTCATGTTCGCCTCATGTGGAATTATCGTGTGTTATCGTTACGTGTTTAAAAGATGTCTCAAAATATGCAGCCACATTTATCATGTTTTTCGCAGTTTTTTCCACACTTTTTTTTGTCTTTTTCTTTTTCAGACTGATACGTTTTTCTCGACGAGTAAGGATTAGTATTATGTACCTTTTGGACCGAGAGATTCGATACGGCAGTTGATTCTTGGCGCTTACGCACGCCTCTTCCAAGATGAACTTGAGATTAGCGCGCGAAATATCGTCGACACATATCTTCCCCCTCGTCCACGTGACTCTTTTTCATCTCGTATAGTGATTTGTATAATATAGATATCGGTATACAGAGCTAGTATCAAATCCTAACGAAATCGGCTACATCAAAATTGTTCCAACATTCCGGAGAGATATGCACACTTTGTTCTGCGTCGGCCAGCTCCTCTACCGAGCCGCGTTCCGTCGAGGACACGCCCTCGAGATCATTTTCTTTTACTTCTACTTCCTTTCTTCCTTTTTTTTCGCTTTACCTCCTCGAAACTCACGAGAATCCTTAATCTTTCGTTTATATTACTACGAAACCTTCTCGTTTAACAGATCATCATTAGTAACGCATCCTTTACTGTTTATTCGCACAGAACGGCCTACGATACATCGCATAATATATCACGGCCAGTTGGAAAACTAACTCGAAAAATTCGAAAGTCGAAGAAAAATCCACATTGCGGATTTTAACATAATTTATCGGACTGCCAGTCACGCGTTCGGTGTCCAAGCGACACAATTACATTCACGCGAGTATGCAATAATTAAAAAATGAGGCCTTTGCGTACTTTGAATTGTCATTCCTTTTCCGTAGAAAAAAAAAGAACGATATACTCTACGATGCTAATTCATTAAATTACTCTTCATGTACATATGTTGATGCAACGTCATTAAAATGTTTATAAAATTTCATTTAAACGATAAAAAGTTACTCGGAGTCTTTAAAATACATTATCGATTTGTATAATCTGAATAAAAACGACGAGACATGCGTATTGTATGAGCACTTATGCTCGGTGTTCCTTTCGTTGAAACTGATTCGAAAGTCTCTCTTTTACGTAGAAATAATAATACGCCAACATTTACTAAGATAATTCTCAAAGCACTTCTTCTGTGCCGAGCAATGTCTCTATTAGGCTTTTACAATTTCAAGCCATAATTAGTCAGTCTAATTACATTTTTCGCTTAATTAATTTATGTTATACATCAGTTAATCCTTTATGATTCTTTCAGATTAGATATTAAATCTGATCGTTATCCAAACTTTGTAGCGCATGGTAAACATCAACGAATGCATTTTTTTCTTAAATAGTTTTACATTGCATCGGATTTTCAAGATTCGATCAAATATCTTGAAAGCATCTCGTTGATATATCGTTGCAGAGATCAGTACATATCAGTGATTTGAAGAAAGAGATAGAATCCCGATTATAGAAAAATACCGATTGCAATGAGTTTTCAGGCAGTTACGTTTAGACACTTCAATTTTTTTTACCTTTAAATTTTTGCGTAGGAAAATCTTGAAGACTATAATTAATTTTACATAAAAACTACAAAGTATGAAAGAGTATGAAAAAAGAGTGTCTAAATTTCAGCGAAATGCCCCATATATATAATGCTAAATATTACTCTTGACTTTCATGACTATATCATTAAAATTTAAAAGGATATTTCATCGTGACAAAAGCATCACGATGAATAATAAGGTGGCGTAAAAACATCTTTAATACATAAAATTTACATACGAAAGTAATGCAGCCCCGCGTTTAGCTTTTCTCCACGGAAACTAGCACAATATGTTATTTTATCCCATTAAATTACAAATAGAGGTAATATTATATTAATGTAAGAGATTGTTAGTATATAGATATCATAATAGCAGCGATAGTATTCAATACAAATAGACAGAGCAAAGTAGATAGATTGTTGGATAATCCACAATTATTAAACTGCTTATTATTATGTCGTCTTTACGATTGTTTGATAAGTACGGAAAGGTTGTTACCATTTCCTAAAATGACAATAACAATAATAAAAGAAAAGGTCCAAGCTGTCTAATAACTATCTAGTATCCAACAATTGTTTACTTAACTCTTCGCAAAATTAACCATTTGGTCGGTGTGAAAAAATAAACATAACGTTTTTATATTCTGTAAACTACTGTGGACCGCATCAAGATTGTTATTTCTATTTGGTTGATTCTCTCGTCTTTATGCAATATGCTGGTTGATTCTCTTGTAACTCGCATGAACTCTTAATCTCAGCACAAATGTAAGTAGAATATATACATGCAGATGATAAAAGAAAGGACACCCATTTCGACGTAAAAGAAAAGCAGTGTATAGCTTACAGTGCAAGCGATCAATTACTCGCTAAATTGAAACTTTAAATTCCATGTTCTACAAATAACAATTCGAAGAGAGAGATTACCTTTTCTTCATTATATTATTAGGTCATACAATATGAATTACAATTCTCTCATTGTGGATCATCTGCATGTAAATTCTACGCGATGCCATCTGTGGATTTCTCAAATTTATCATTCTCTCGGATAACAGCGATGGATCTCTCAGCAATAGTACTTTCCTGGGAATTCTTGATGTTTATGGGTATCATTTCTTTGTTCTTATAGGATTAGTTACTACTGCTAATTCAGCTAGATTCCTTCTCTTTCGAATCTGGAACAGGAAACGCGGGCGAGTCTTTGGACATTTGATTCTCGAAAGATTACACGAAATAACGTAATATTAATTTGTCATATTCTACTTTCTTACCGCTATCAGATTTGTCTTCTGAGGTACCGTTTGTCAATTCGGGTTCCTTCTTCTTCTCCCCTTCCTCCGACTCTACGCTAGACGCCTTTTTCTCCTCCTGATTCGCGGCCTTCTTGTCTTTCGCTTTGCCCTTAGCCGGCGTAGCTGGTTTGGGCTTCGGCTCCAGACTCGGATCCAGCACGATCTTACCGATGTTCTTGCGATCGTGCATTTTTTGCATGGCCTCGGGCACATCCTCGAGTGCCCATGTTGAATCCACCGTTGGCTTGATCTTGCCCTCGCTCCACAGCGTGTACACTTGATTCACCGCCCGTCGAACGAACGCGTGACTACCTTGCTGGTACATCAAGTGGCGTAGATTCAATCCGGACAATGTCTTGTTTTCATCGAACAGCTTTATGGGCGACACTTTATCGACTTGCCACCACTAAACAGCATATAATAAAACGTGCATGGATATGGCAGAGATATAATCCTAAGGAAGTTATTATTACTCCAGAGAAAATCTTCACATAAATAACAAGACGATTCAAGAAAGAATATCAAAACTTATAAAATCTTACACTAAAGTATTAAAAGATACTTTATACATGAGATACAAAATGCTTTTGTTTGATCAATACGAATGAGAAATTGATATATCTAAAAGCTGAGTTACGTACTGATCGTGCTGCGGAAAAGAAACTCTTAGTTTCCCCGGTGACGACGTTGCTGGATCCATAGAGAATGTACTTGCCCATTGGCTTCAAGAGGGCGTAGCCCTTGTTACATTCTTCGCCGCATAGACAATCTAAAACGATGTCTATACCTTCCGGGGAGATTCTAAACAAGCATAGACACGTATAAAAAATGTATAAGAATTCTCTCTAGACCTTTTAATATTGACTGTATTCTCAATGGAAAGAAAACAAAATATTAATTATGTGCGACATCATCTACGTACTTTCTGACTTCGTTGCTGTAATCCGCACCGCGTTCCAGAAGATAATCGATAGTTCCAGCATTTTTAAGAGCCTCATGCTTTGATTTGCTGCACACGCCTAAGATGGTTACGTCCTTCACGGTTTTCGCGAGCTGTACCACCGCTTGACCCTAAATTGAATGAAAAATAATGTTTCTCATCGATATGGTCCAAATCAATTTAACAGCGAAGATCGAAAATCAGCAGAAGTATATAGAGAAACAGAACAGACAGTTATAGTCTCCCTTTTTGCAACGTACGCTACTTTTTGTCGAGAAAATCCAGTTACGCGTCGAATTGCACGGGCGGCGTCGGGCCGCTACTTGTAACGCTATGTCTTGGGAAAGGATGAGACGGGATTAAAGGAGAAGAAAAAAAGAACGCGCTGGCCGCGTGCACAGCCGTTCGAGATTTTCAACAGAAGCGGCATACATTATTTCCGAGAATCGCGCTCGCTGCTTTCCATTTCTCTCCGCCCCTTGTCGAGAATTCGATACCCGGCGACCGAGCCGATGCCAGAGTGCCCCGAAGGCTCGAAGAAGAGTATAAATGAAAAAAAAAAGAGTCAAGCAAAAAGGGAGAACGGAAGAAAGAAAGAAAGAGGGAGAGAGAAGAAAGCAAGAGACAAAGACAGAACAGATCATTTAGAATCCCTAAATAATTATGAAAAGTATATTTCGGTTTTTTAATAATTATATCCCGTTTTTTCGAAGATGTTTGTCATTTCGTTGTTGTATTTGCTAACTTAAAAATTATTATACAATATAAAACATATACGCGAAAAAAAATCCCCATGAAATATTTTATAGCAACGTTGCATCTTCATCGGCGACGCCTCACGAGCCGCAAAGAGCGGAAGCTTTCTTCTCGCGCGTAGACACAACGATTTAATTAATATTAACCGATCCACGGACTCGAAGAACAATGTCGTCCATCGCTCCTCATTCGGTCCCCCTTGTCTCCTTCTTGCTCCCTTGTTCATCGAGACATCGAGGAGGATGAGAGCCGCATGTATGTAGAAGCGATAATTCATGCTCAACGACGACAATGGATTCCACACGAGCAAGAGAAACGCGAGCACTCTCGCGCTGCGATTTCCCGCGTATTAGTCGCGAGAAAAACTGGTCACGTACGATGGAAAAGCTTCAGAAGAGGCCACACTTGGCCTATGAAAAATATACCATTTTCTGATCACGTCGGAGGACTTTCCCTCTCTTGTGAGTCTTTCAGATTCAGACGGATCGCGTCATATCTCTTCCGCTCGTCTCTCCTATATGAACAATGTCTGAGTACCGCCTCCGGTACTTTCATGTAGCTCGAGAGACAGATGCATTGAGCACGTTGCGAGAATACGGGAATGTCAACAAGCACCGTTTGCCATGTGCTCGTTTCATGAGAATAATAGCTGATATATCGCTACTCGATGGCTATTTATAGTACAAATGAACGGTTGGATCGATTTCAGGAACGACCTTAATTGTCGTTTAATTGATTCTTTATCCTCTCCAACAGCTGGAACTGAAGAGATGAGAAAAAACCATCAACCATCCATCATGTCCCCTATAATAACATCCATCATGTCCCATATAACAACATCCCAAAAATCGTAGCTGGTTTCTCGACGTACAAAGTCTGATTTTAATAAAGAAATATATAATTCTCTCTCTAAATACATTTCTCGTTCGAAAATATTTTCGTGAAGCATTTCGAAGCAGAGTATAAGCCGCTGCAGAAATTGGTTGTAATTAAGCCCTTCTATAAAATATCATTAATCACAAGAGGAAAAAAGGCGAAGAAGAGAACCCAAGGGCACACAAAAGTCAACAAAAAAATCAAAATTACTTTATTTTCATTCTTAACATCAATCAACAGTCAGATTTTGTAACCAAAAATCATCATTTTGAGTTTCATAACGTCAAAATAAAGTCATTTTGATTTTCTCTTGACTTAGGCTCGTTTCTAGCAATGTAGATGAACTTTAATCTCGGTTCAACTTACTTCTCATTTTTTCTAATTCTTAGAACTAGAAAAAGATGAAGAGTAAGTTGAATCGAGATTAAAGTTAATCTACATGGATAGAAATGAGCCTTAGTGTGTTCTTTGGGAAAGAGAACGGATCAGGTCGTCAGGTATACACGTGGCATTGTGTCGGTGCGGTGTGAAAGCAGCTTAAAGCCGCGCCACGTGGTAGTAATGTGCCAGTGATGGTGATGGTAGCAGCGGTAGCGGCGGCGGTGGCGACGGTGGTGGTATGGTCTCAGACGGGTGCGGTCCATGACGGTGGTCGATGAGAGAGCGAAAGGTTGCCTGGCAACCCTCACACCCCGTGCGATTCGCGCACCGGCATCCCCCGGTGGATTTCGCCTTTCGTCTCAACCATCGGGGGTCGAGAGACGGTTGGCGGGAGGGGAGGGGGTGGCTTGTCGTTGGCTTCGGGTGTAACCTGTTGAGTCGTATTGATCCCGACGGTTTTATCTTCTTCTTCTTATCTCCTTCTTTTGCTTCTTCTTCTCGTTCATCGAGATGAGAGAGAGAGAGAGAGAGAGAGAGAAACCACCTCGCATGGCCAATAGAACCCGGAAATACCTCTTGGTACTTTAACTTTCCCTCTATCCCCGCCACCGTCGACTCGTACGAGCGACCACCATCCAACTACCAGTCACTCTCATAAAATTTTGTATTTCGTTCATACCCCGTGCGAGATATTCAAAATCTTCAAGTCGTAGGCGTAGGGTTTAAACTGATCTCCGCGGGCGAGTAAACGAAGCTCGGTAAATTTTATTTCGGTAACTCGTGGAGAGATTCCGCGGGGGAGGAGATTTTATTTCGGTATCCTCGACAGAGGAAAGAGCGTGCAAATATTTATCGTGTAACATTTTGTTTAGGTACTATACTACGGCAATCCCTTACAGATAAATTGACGTTCGCCCGTCGAATTCCCATTATCTTTGTGTTAAAACGTAGCGTAATGAATTTAAAGGAAAAACGTCATAAGTGTGCCGCGTCTTTCGCACGCATATACCGGCTTCTTGTAAAACCGTTCTAGCAATGTATAAGCAATAATGTTAATGACGCTCGCATCTTAGCTATTTAGATGCCGCGGTCGTAACGCTGTTACTTATCGGATTTGTACTGTTCCGAGTAACATACACACGTCTCGAAGACGCCTGGCCGTTTATGTTTACGAGCGGAACATCTTTGTGCGAGACATTAACTCGTTTATACACGCGATACCACGATAAAGCTGTCTAAACTCACGAAAGCACCCCTTCGCAAAGTCGTTATTGTCGGTTGAGCATTTTTGCACGCTAAAACGGAGCTTTCGCTCGTCTACATTCTGTCGCTTTAACGATGAACCGCTGCAAAATTCAAAATTATTATCGTGCTGAGCGTTGTGCCATGAAACTTAATACAATCAAGCGCACAATAGAATATTAATTCATACACGGTGAAGATAATAATATGTGCATTCAGTACAGGTAAAGGTATAGCTTTTACATATCACATGTTAAAATGCTCGAGCCATCTAGCATTTGAACGTGATAATTATAAAATCTCTCAATATATCGAAACGAGCGGAATTATTTATGATAATGATTACGACTGTAGAGGGAATATTAAAAGTCCAATATATTACGTACGATCGAGTGTCGACACTACCTTTATTATTGAAATATACCGAGGCATTTATAAAGAAGAGAAGCGATTAATAAAAAGGAAAAGAGAAAGGGAGACATCGCATCGCGAATAATCAACCATAACAATTACGATACTTTCGTAAGTATACCACGGCACGTCGAGTGCACGTCGAGTTCTTGAAGTCACGATAAAGGATATGCGAGCATGAACAAGGGGTGTAATTAAAAAGTCCAATTCATCATCTCTTCCTTCTCATATCTTTCGAGGGGAGTGATACTCCGGCCCGATAGGAAATACAAATATAAAGAAGAATTCTTCTGTTCGACTTACCACACCGCCGCCGGCGCTATGAAGCAGCAAGCTCTTTCCGGGCGTGAGATGGGCCAGCTCGAAGAGCAGAATGTAAGCTACGGTGTAATTCATAGTGATGGCGGCCGCGTCGAGGTAGCTCATTCCGGGCGGTAGTGCGAAAACGGATGTCGCCGGTACGGCGACCAGCTCCGCCCACGCTTTGTGATCAGGAAGAGCGACCACCCTATCGCCCACCTGTTAAAAAAAGGAAAAAAACCGTCACGTGCATGTTGTGTCTGTCAAAATGCAGAGCATTTATATCAGTCTGCATAATCTTGCTTTAAGAGACCGTAAGCCATAAAGCCGTAAGATCACGAATTAATCAATCACAATCAAATATAAGAAAAGTAATTGACTGTGATTGGTCAATTTTTTACGGTTTTACGGCTTATGACCTCTTTAAAGCAAGGTTGTGGATCTAGATTCATATGGGCTTTCTACAATAAGCCGTTAGTCACCACTCATATCATACTAGTGGTAAGTCAGAATTATAAGTCATAAATCTTAGGAAACTTATCAGAATAAATTATATTAGATATCGTTACGTCACGATATTTTAGCCAATCAAACGAGTGGTAATTCTCAGGACAAATAATAATAGACTATATGATTGATCCGTCATAACGTAATTTAAGTTTTAAATCGTAAGAAATGGAATTTGGCTATCTCCATGCCATCACTGATTACTGACTTATTGTTGTCTTATGACTGAAAACTGAACTTTATTATTAACAACTTATTGTAGAAAGCCCAGCAGTTTTTAAATCACTTTCACAGATGCTAATACCTGAAGAACATTCCGAAGATAGAGACTAGGAAGCTTTTCTCTTAAAGACCGATTTATAAAATTGTCTTTACTTTCATAGGATATACAATCTTTTCAGGGTTAGGTATACAGCGCATAAAATTCCTCGCGTATTTACCGGATCATGATTGGATAAGGAATGTTCAACGATTTTACATTTTGCGGCCTTCTGGAAGACTGAGCGAGCTCATTTTATCGAATTAGACCTCCCGCTATAAAGTATCTTGATAGTCAGGGCGAAGTAGAAACAACAAGCTGACATTACTCTCGACCCGTATGCTTGAAAAGAACGCATTCTTTTCCTCCGCTTTATTATTCTCTCTGACAAGTCGAGGCAGCCCGTTCTACACGCGCTGACCGGATATCTGACTCTACGCGCTTCGAGAAGCTCGCTCGCCTTCTGACCCCGAAAAGACTTTCGTGAGTCGCGAAAATAGACCACCCTGAGCGCACAAGTTTCTCCATACAGCCAGCTGGCGAAAAACATACCTCAAAGAAATTTCGCGAGCTCGAAGCCAGCTTGATTCTCCCCGTAATACGGACAACGTTAAATATGATAACGGGAGTATGCCGCCTTGGGTGATTTTCAAGGATTATTTACGAAGCAACCATTAATACAGCCTCCTGGCGCTTTATCACGTCAGGGATATGGGAAACTTCTGCGTTCTTTTTTTCGCCTGACGTAAAGACGTTTAATAAGCGAAACGACCGCGAGGGGAAAGTAGCCTCTCATTTTATTTATGGCGTCCGTAGTCCGGCCAAGGAAACGTGTTTCGAGAGCTTTCAAAATAATTCAACATTGAGCCGCACATGACGTCAATGCTGAAAATCAATACAGGACTACTATTTCGATACGTAAAAGGCAGCCCTATCATACGGCCGAATCGAATTAGCGCGTTACTTGCTAGTCGTTTAGGCTTATCGAGCCTCTAGTTCTCGTTGAATTCACGGAGGCGATTTTACTCTGCTGATATAAAGGGAAGAGACTGCGCCTTGTAATTCAGTTATACGTACTTCCGTCTGAAGGCGAAGTTTCCGACGCAAGCAAATCTGTATTTCCGCTCACGCGCATTTCGACATTTATACCAATAACATTCGACCCTATTTACGACGCAGCCATTAATCTTCTTTGGAAAGAGAACAGAGGAAGTGAGCAATATAGTTTCCCTCGCGTTTTATTTTTAATTCTTAATGAAATTCCAAATACACATAGAACTTAAAGAAGCAAACTTGTTTACGATTTAAGTTTGCGCACTCGTAATCAGATTCATTAAAAGTTTCGTGCTTGTACTCACTTTGAAATTTTCGACCCCCTCGCCGACTTGCTCAATGTCACCCGCGCACTCTGAGCCCATGATAAACGGGGTCTTCGGAGGCGAGTCGATCGCGCCCTGCCTGGCCATCAAGTCCTGGAAGTTTAATCCGCTGGAAAAAAATAAAAAGAATTTGTCAAATACAATATTCAGACTAATGCAATTCATCTAATTAAATAAAAGAAATCCTACACTGAAAAAAAGATTGGCTGCTGCAGCAAATTAGATGGTAAAATATGGCATAGCATTTTTAATTGGCTGCA